CCTCAGCATCCTAATACCCTTCTAAAATTTTCGGTCAGATCACCTGCTCCTTGACTCAGAAACTTCCAAAGCCCTTACCTTGCCTTATGAGGTTTTGCATACTCTGGCCCCAGTGATGTATTTGGCCTCGTCTCCTAGGGCTGTCTCACTTGTTTCCTCTACTCTAGCCACCCTGGCCCCCTTGATGTTCCTCAAACTGCTGAGCATTGTGTCCCTGTGAGCCCCTGTACTTTATTTTACCTCTGACTAGAACACACCTCCATCATTTTCCCCTTACTTCTGGCAAGTTGCCATCTAAAGGTGACTTTTCTACATTTTTGTTATGATAGAGGGTCCTTATTGGTACCATGTGAGAAATTACCTTGATGCCCTGGTAGGCTCCAAGTACAGTCCCATGCAAGCTCTCCCAGAGGACACAGCACAAATAGGATTGCAGACTATGCAGTAAAATGCTCAAATCACAGCTTCATTAAAAAACATAGCAAACAGCAAGGGGAAAAGAAGAGCAAGTTAACAGTTTAGTGTGTAAGTGAATTGGAAGAACTGCACTATCTGAATCAAGTGTGAGCAATTTCCATATATCTGAGCTCTCTTACATTGTTGAATCATCTCTTACATCGTTGAATCAACCTGTAGGACAGACACAGAGATATATATGCCTGGTCCCAACCAATTAGTTGGTTGAACAGCCATGGATTTTATTTTTGTTTCTGAAGTAGAGAACTTATGGTGTCTCCAATGTGTGGCTGACTCAAGGCCTCATGAATAATGAGTCAGTGCTTCGATGTCTCATATATCTGTGAATTCTGAATGTGTGTCTCCTTTTGTATATTTTGTGCCTCATGAACATTAGGTATCTTTTGACCCTTCCATCCCTTATATCTATATTTAACAACATATTCTCTATTTACTAACTAGTTATGTCTACTTAAAACATCTTAAGCGTTTTTGCCTACATTTTACTAACTAAAAGCATATTTATATTTTATAATAGAATTGCTCATTTACAAAAGTAAATATGTGTTACAATCCATATCATTTATTGGTGTATCCCTGACATATAGTAGGCACTCAATACATATGTGCTGAATGAGAGAATTGTGCTTTCTCTCTCCTTTTCTCCTTCCCCTCCTCCTGCATTTTCTCCTACACACACACACTCTCTCTCTCTCTCACACACACACACACACACACACACACACACACACACACATTGGACAGGAATCCCAGAGATCTGGGTTCTGGTGTGACAGCATGCTTTTCACAAATACTTCTTGGTTTCCATTCCTTCAAATGTAAATAAAGGTAGGGTTTAGTAAGATGATCTTTGAGTTTCCTTCCAGGATTCAGAGTTTCATCAATAATTTCTTTATTCCTTTGCTCTATGAGGTTTCTTTGTGCTGTGGCTTTAATGTAGCCTATCAAACACATTTCAACAAAATTAAAAGCCTTTTGTTTTGCCCATCACCATTTCTAGGAGGATCACTGCCAAGATCCCAAAGTAGAGGAAATTTTTCCTATAGAACATAACTGAATTTTGTATTAAGCAAGCTAAAACCAGAGAAAGATTAGATTTTAAAACCTTTGAAAGTGAAGCTAGGAGAGGTGCCTCATGTGTATAGTCCCAGCTACTTGGGAGGCTGGAGTAGGAAGATAGCTTGAGCCCAGAAGTTCAAGACTGCAGTGAGCTAGGATGGCCCCACTGCATTCCAACCTGGGCGACTAACGGGACCATGTTACTTAAAACAAAACAAAAACAAAACAAAACAAAGTACACAATCTTTAAAAGTGATACGAAATCAAAACAATAACAATAGGTAAGTCTATGGAAGTTTCCAGAGCTGTCTTTTTAATTACCAAAAAAACTAGAATAACATTCTTATGAAAGGATTAAACAACAATTAAATAACATTATGGATTGCCATCATTGTAAAAACAAGAATTAAAAGGCAATATAGGCTGGGCATGGTGGCTCACACCTGTAATCGCAGCACTTTGGAGGGCCAAGGCGGGCGGATCACCTGAGGTCGGGAGTTTGAGACCAGCCTGACTGACATGGAGAAACTCCATCTCTACTAAAAATACAGAATTAGCCGGACTTGGTGGCACATACCTGTAATCCCAGCTAGTCAGGAGGCTGAGGCAGGAGAATCACTTGAACCCGGGAGGCGGAGGTTGCAGTGAGCCGAGATCACGCCATTGCACTCCAGCCTGGGCAACATGAGCGAAACTCCGTCTTTAAAAAAAAAAAAAAAAAAAAACCCATATAAGGTTGTTTATGTATTTCTTACCTATTTAGCTACTAAACTTCTGGAAAACATCTTGTTACTGAAGAACAAAAACATACACTATTCGGCCAATTAACCACTTACTGCTGTATTTCCCTTTTATTCAAATTGCATATGAAGATACATATAGGTGACCTAATTTGTTTAATTTGCAGTATTCCCAAGATATAAGCTAGTGGTTGCCCATTAAAAGTCTCTTAGGCTGTGATCTTGAGATATGGAAAAGAGAGAAATTTTGAATTTTTGCTTAAAGCCTAGCATTCAAAGCTAAATAGGTATGGCCTATATCTTTCTGGAAGCCATATTATGTTAGACACTACTTTACAAATAATAATTTTAGTTTAATATATTATACTAAAACATCGATACAAACTATTTGCCAGAGGATTTCTTCAGCTGCTTAGAATGAAGAAAAGTATCCATTAATAAATTAAGGGATTTTTTTTGTGTGTGTTTTAATTTCTTAAGGCTATGTTTTATATCATGCTTGCTTTAATAGTAGAATTAATACAGAATATAAAACTGAGAGTATAGGCATCACCTATTAATGCAAAAATTCAAGTTTTACATAGAACTAGGAGGTCCTGTAATGATAACTTCTAAAGTGTCTGCACTTTTCAAAGAAAAAGAAACCCTGTAAATTTACATCTCAGTTACCTTAATTAATATTAGAAGTTTGTACATGTGATGTGAATATATATGGAGTTGCGCCTAAAATACATTATAACCCAAGTATACTACTATCATTTACTAGTTGGTTCTTGTGAAATGGTGTTTCAAGAATATTGAACTATATAAATAATTGCACTAAAATTTTGGAGACAACATTGACACTAGACTTTAAAAGTAATTCTAGATATTAATTTTAATGCATTGTAGCTTGATCATAATTTAATTATTTTTTCCAACATTTTAAATTGACATCTTGAAAATAAACTATAGAATATCAAGAAATTCTGTGTTTATTAAGATATTTATATTTGGCCACATTATTGTGTGCTTATGAAGCTCATCTCAGCAGTGAGATGGAGAATATAGATAGGTCCAATCTTTTGATGCTTTAGCTACATATTCCATGAGCCAAATGACACTTTATACATACATACACTCAATATATTATTCATATTATATTTAATGGAGTTAATGGAATAATAATAAACTGGACATCAATGATACCTTTGTAATTTTGTTGTTCTCTTGGAGTAAGAGTGTTAGAAAATTAAAATTCCATTTCATTTTCTTTTCAAACAACTGCTATACACATAATAAAAACTGGGAGGCATCATTTAGAACTCTAAAGTACAAAAAAAAAACCACACACAGTAACTACATACATTTATTAGCTGTGGAGTATATTAATTGTCCTAAATGCTCAATGTAGAATGTTAAAGTCTCTACTGTGACTTTAATATGCAGTCACCTATTCTTTGGAGGGACCATTCATCTTTTCCAAAAATAATTGCCTTTCCCCTACATTGCCTACATCCCCCTTCCTGTCTTCCCTATGAAGAGAGTATATAAACTTCTAGATCTCACTGGATTTGGGGGCATTCACTTCTTTTTCATATGATACCTCCATGAACAAAATACATTTTTTTTTTTTTTTTTGAGACAGAGTCTTGCTCTGTCTCCCAGGTTGGAGTACAGTGGCGCGATCCTGGGTTCACGCCATTCTCCTGCCTCAGCCTACCAAGTCGCTGGGACTACAGGCGCCAGCCTCCACGCCGGCTAATTTTTTTTGTATTTTCAGTAGAGACGGGATTTCACTGTGTTAGCCAGGATGGTCTTGATCTCCTGACCTCGTGATCCGCCCACTCGGCCTCCAAAAGTGCTGGGATTACAGGTGTGAGCCACCACGCCCGGCCACAAAATAAATTTTTGTGTCTTTCTCTTATTAATCTGCCTGCTGTCAATTTATTTCATACACTTAATTATCAAACCCTCAGAGGGCAGAGGGAGTCTTCCCTCTCCTACAGTTCCAGTCAGATTGTTTTCTAGTTGTTTTAAACATAAGGGTTGATCTAAGATGTCTGGCATACCATTACTGAAAATAATTACTAAAAATAGAATCAATAGTATAGTATTTGTTAACATGTTTTAAAAATATCAATAACTAAATTATTCTAGGACTTCCAATTCTTAAAATCTTCAAAATGTAGTTGTATAAAATGATATAGATCAGTGCTGTCATACTCTCTGGTCCAGGGATGGATTTCTCCTATAATAATTCAAATTCTCACTAATGATGTGTAAGTTAGCAAATTAGTTGCCATGTTTGTTCAGTTGTGTATCACCACCAAAGAAGTAAGTTGCTAAATTAAATATAAATAAATACCTAGCCATAGAACTAGAGGAAGAGATTAAACAATGTATTGTTGGATCAAGAAATCATGTTTCAAAATTTAAACAAATGAATGACTTTTATAGTTCAAGTGTCTGTGAAGTCCAAAATAAAAATACAGACATTAATTGCACTACCTTATTGGTAGAAGAAATAGCAAGTACCTTAAAAAGTGCATATCATATTGGAATCAAATCTCTTGAAGGCTAGGCAATTCATCCTGACTATGTTTTTCTCACCAAAGAGCTTAACATTGAACCATCAAAATATATTCACTTTACCATCTGGGACATTTTAATCAAACCTCTCATCTGATCAATCACATATTTCACTTCAGAAAGAAGAACTTTCACTTCTGCCTTGTTTTTCAGAACTATCTATATCTACCACTTTTCACATTAAGATGATCCTTCTCAAGCCATCAGAGAACTAAGTGACATCTGCAATGAAATGGCTTTACCAGTTTTGTCCTTTGGTAATTCTGTCATCTATTTTTGCTGGATCCAATCCCTGGAGACCATCCTGCCTTTCTAAGGGATGCTTCTCTCTTTCAACTACCTTCATGTCCTTTAATGCAATTGTTGCTTCTTTCTGTCCTGGTGTTGTGCTTTGGCAGTGGTCACACCCATGGAGCATAGACTTCTAACAAGGCACAAAGCATGACTTTGAGTTTTCTGTTGTAATTTGATGGAATTGGCCAGGCGCGATGGCTCATGCCTGTAATCCTGGCACTTTGGGAAGCCAAGGCAGGCAGATCACCTGAGGTCAGGAGTTCGAGACTAGCCTGGCCAACGTGGCAAAACCTTTGGTAATTCCTTTGGTAGAACTTTCACTTCTGCTTTGTTTTTCAGAACTATCTATATCTACCACTATATCTACTAAAATATATCTATATCTAAAAATATCTATATCTACTAAAAATATAAAAATTAGCCAGGCGTGGTGGTGGGTGTGGTGACGGGTGCCTGTAATCCTAGTTATTGGGGAGGCTGAGGCAGGAGAATCGCTTGAACCAGGAGGTGGAGGTTGCAGTGAGCCGAGATTGTGCCACTGCACTCCAGCCTGGGTGGCAGAATGAGACTCCGTCTCAAAAAAAAAAAAAAAAATGGAATTAAGAAACATTGAAAAATATATACCATTCACTGTGAGAAAAAACTTCATCTCCTCCAACTGGGAATCTCAGTCCATTCTATGTATGAAGGTGATGGCCTGCAATAACCTTTTGAGGCTGCTATCATCCTATCCCTATTTTATGGGTGAAAAAATTGATGGACAGAGAAAGGGAGTATTTTCAGTATATCACTTAGAGAATCAGTGAGAGAGTCAGTCTATGAACTTTGTGGTGGTGGGTGGCCTTCCCTGTAGAAAGGATAGATTCCATGATCTTTTGTACCATCAAATAAAATACTTACAAACAAATGAGAACTAGCCATTTGTATTTGTTTTGTTTTAATAATGCAAATAAGATGTCATTCTAGACCTAAAAAAAATGTTTTTCTCCCTCTTGTTTCCAAATTTTAGGATAAAAGGCAAATAGAAATTTGTTCTTAGAGAACCCTGGACAAATTCTCTTTATGAGGGAGGATCAAGCAATTTCACCATATCATCACCACACAATTAAATTTTGCCTTTCCTGTGAGAAACCAGCATGTATAGCAGTCTGCCTATTGAGTATCGTACTGAAATTAAGACAGATTAAAGTCTGTATGAAACTTTTTCAAAAGAGACTATTGAAAAATTGCAACTTATAGGTCACATAATGCCTGCAGACACCCTATATGTCTTTTGTCTGAAATGTCTGCCAACTTGCAGTTGACCATCATTGCTGTCTTGAAAGCAGTGATGAAGTAACATGAAGTAACTTTAGATAGGGAATTATGAGCACTCTCTGTCTAAAGTAGTAGCCCCAGTAGAAAGACCCTCTTTTTTCACCCTCCTAGAGGGTGGAAAATTTAGATCTGCCCAAGTAAAGAGCTGAAAAATCTCACTGTGGAAAACACATAAATGTTTAATTATTTGCAATACATTTTTTGAAAATGTAGCAGTTTAAACGTTAACATATCCTCATTCTTAGTTTTTGTTTTGTTTTGTTTTTGTCTTCCTTATTGCTTATTATCAAATAACCAAACTTAGGCCTAGCCCAGAGAAGGGAGTCACCCATTTTTGACTCCTGTGGACTGTTCTCCATGTAGGAAAGCAGTTATTAAGGGCTAAATTGTGTGCCTCCCCATCACTAATAAATGAAGTCCTAATCCCCAGTACCTCAGAATGTAGCCGTAATTGTTTACAGAGTCTTCTTTTTGTTTTGTTTGTTTGTTTGAGACTGAGTCTCTCTCTGTTGCCCAGGTGGGAGTGCCACAGCGCGATCTGGGCTCACTGCCAAGCTCCGCCTCCCGGGTTCACGCCATTCTCCTGCCTCAGCCTCCCGGGTAGCTGGGACTACAGGCGCCCGCCACCACGCCCCGATAATTTTTTGTATTTTTAGTAGAGACGGGGTTTCATCGTATTAGCCAGGATGGTCTCGATCTCCTGACCTCGTGATCTGCCCGTCTCGGCCTCCCAAAGTGCTGGGATTACAAGTGTGAGCCACCGCGTGTTGATAGAGTCTTTAAAGAGGCAATTAATGAAAATGAGGTAATTAGAGTAGGCCCTAATCCAATATGACTGGTTTCCTTTTAAAAAGAGGAAATTTGGGGCTAGGCATGGTGACTCAGGCCTGTAATCCCAACACTCTGGAATGGTGAGGTGGGAGGATAGCTTGAGGCCAGGAGTTCAAGACTCCATCTCTTAAAAAAATGTTTTTTAAACTACAAAATAAGAAGAGGAAATTTGAACACAGACATGCACAGAGGAAAGATGACCTGGAGACCCAGGGAGAAGATGCCATCTACAAGCTAGGAGAGAGAGAAGAAAGGAGGAGGAGGAGGAAAGGGAAGAGAAGAAGGAGAAGAAGAGGAGAAGAAGGAGGGAGAAGGAAGAAGACGAAGAAACTAATACTGCTATGTCTCAAAAAACAAAGAAACCACACCTTGATCTCAGACTTCTAGCCTCCAGAACTGTGAAAAAATTAATTTCTGTTGTTTAAGCCACTAGGTCTGTGGTACCTTGTTATGGCAGTCCTAGCAAACTAATACAACAGTCAATACATTAATACATTATAATGCTACATGTCCAATCCTTTGTCTCCTTATCATAGATACCACTAGCACTTACTAGTGGATCATAGATACCACTAGCACTTACCTCCCAGGCCTGGAAAAATAAATTAAGTAATGCATAGTATCTAGAAGATAGTACACACTCAATAAATGGCAGCTCATGACTAATGTTATTTTTTTCCCCAATGTGGCAAAAGCAAGATATAAGTACCGTATGGTTTAATCCTTGTGGGCAGATCATTAAATGCAGAGCCATAATGCAAATTTTGACATTCAGGAGTCCCTAACAGAGTATTAGAGCAAACTAAATCAAGAATTTTCAGATATACAGGGAAATAAGCAAGATGAATATGTGAATAACAAAATACTGAAAATAGAAAAAGTAGATGTGGCACTGAAGCAGGTTGTTCTGATATTCCACATTAGTGAAGAACCTACCAAGCTGCCTAAAACAGAGGGAAGGAATACAGCCCTGGAAGCCCTTTGGAGATTGACATCCTACTCCATATTTGCTAGCCTGGTAACTTAAATACCTCAATGAGTGTGTAATTCTCTTGATTGTCTGCAATACGGAGATAATAATAAACTCCCACTTTTCTTACAAGTACTTTATGAGATGATGTCCACTGCTTCTAAGCATGTTCTTGGAACCTGGATGAGGTGTATATATGAAAGTTACTGTGAAATAGTCATTACAATTTACTTTTCCTTTCAACAAAATAAGCTTGAGAAATAAAAGTAAGCATAATTTTGTAAATGTTCCACCACAATGTAAGCTTCTCCAGGTCATATATTTTTGTATTTCCTGAGTTGAGCATACAGTAGTGGCTCAAATAAATAATACATTAATGAAACTAGTGTTTTCTCAGATCTGTATCAAGTACCACTAGAGTTGTGGACAATGTTTATGAGGAGTTTATGAACTTTGGTTTTTTAAATGTTGGAACAGAGAATAAGAATATCATTCTCTTTTCTATTCTCTTTAAATATTTCTGATTAAGTGACTGGAAAGAAAAGTGTCAATTTGGTGCTAGCAGATGTTTAACGCCTCTCTAACACTTGTTAATCTTTCCTCTCTCTCTTTTTTTTTTTTGTTTTCAATTTTGTAACAAAGAACAGTTTTTAGGCTCTAAGTAGCAGACAGCAAGCAGCATATAACTAGAATTGAATACTACTGTTTTATTTTATACTGTTTTATAGTTACCTTCTCTTTATGATCAGAGGTAGAAATTTTCCACTGGAATACTGATGTAAAGCTTTTAAAATAAATTGATTTCATTTTATACATAGTGTAGCTTGTATCCAAATACAGCAAAAAGAAAAAGAATTTTAAAGTGGTACTCACATAACTGAAGTTTGAACAATACTAAATAAAATAACCAATGTCATAAAACAGGAAATGGCAAAAGATACTATGGTTATACAGCCAGCCTTCTGTATATGTGGTTCTGCTTCCATGGTTTCAACCAACCAAGGATCCAAATATTTAGGGGAAAACATCAAAAATAACAACAATAAAAAAGTGACATAAAAAAACACAATATAACAACTATTTATATATCATTTGCATGTTTTAAATATTATGCGTAGAGATGATTTAAAATATAGGGAAGATATATGTGGGTTATATGCAAATACTACACCATTTTATACAACAGATTTGAACATCCAGGGTTTTTGGCATGCTAGAGGAATCAATTCCCTATGACACTAAAGACTACAGTATTTTATATTATCTTTATAAATTATGTCTATTTATATTATAAGAACATATAAATTATACTGTCTTTAATATTAACTATAACTGCTATAGGAATTCGGAAAGGGTAAATATTCTGGAATGCTGCAATTTGAGAAAATTTTTTGGAAGAGATATGACAAGGCTCAACCTTGAAAGAAAGGGTTGTATTATCCATTACAGTGTAACACAGTATCCCCCAAATATAGCAGCTTATGACAGTAAACAGTTATTACCTCTCAGAGTTTCTGAGGGTAGGAATCTGGGAGCAGCTTAGCTGAATGGTTTTTACTCAGTGTCTATCTCTCATGAGGCTGCAGTCAATGACTGTGATTACCTAAAAGCTTGACTGGGACTGTAACTTCCAAGTTGCAAGAAGAGGCTCACTTATGTAACTGTTGGCTAGAGGACTCATTTTCTTCCACACGTCTCTAGAGGGCTACTCTTAATAAGCGCTGGCTTCCTTCCTCTGCAGTGAGTGATCCAAGAAAGATTGGCAATGATGGAAATCTCTTATCTAATCTTGGAAGTGACATACCATCACTTCTGCCATATTCTCACCAACCCTGGTGCAATGTGGAAAGGGCTACACAAAGGTGCAAATATCAGAAGCCATCTTTTAGGCTGTTTCCACAGTACACACTGAAAAATGTGTCTCTCAGCCCTTACAGGCATAATATCACCTGGGGAGTTTCAAATATACCAGATGCGGCCAGGCGCGGTGGCTCATGCCTGTAATCCCAGCACTTTGGGAGGCTGAGGTAGGCGGATCACTTGAGGTCAGGAGTTTGAGACCAGCCTGGCCAGTATGGTGAAACCCTGTCTCTACTGAAACTACAAAAAAAATAAAATAAAATAAAATAAAAAATAAGGCATGGTGGTGGACGCTTGTAATTCCAGCTACTCAGGAG